AGCTGGTGGTCTAGTTTTCATTGTACTATCGGTCATAAGTAATGTAACACTTTTTCACACTGTTGATCACTCCCTACTTATATACGCAAGGTGACTACAGCAACTTATATCTGCGCATGACCTTCAATGACTTTGAATCACAAACAACGCTCACACCTCCCTTCGGTCGGTGTTCGCTAAAGGGCTATTCACAATATGTGTGTATGTATATCCTTCACACCATGTTCAAATGTCTGCGAATGCCAATAGAATCGATCCTAGAGGTGGCTCACACTCATTTTCTGATTCCCCATAGTGAACTACCTACTCCATATCATTATCAGCCAATCAACTTTTGCTGTACTAGTTTGTCTGTCGCTAGTATCTAGTCTGCGGACATACAAACAAACATACAAACATACAAACATACAAACATACAGGCATTTTAACTCGATAAGACCCTTTCCTTTACAGTCAAGGGAATAAGATCAGTGAACCTAGTTCAACGCTTGTTTAATGATGAGAAATATATGGAATCAACAAGTCAAATGAATTGTCACTGAATACGTCTGCTCGTTCTTCCTCGTCCTCCAACATCATCATCCGGACAAAATCGAACAGAAATTGTTCAAAAATCATCGTGTCATCGTTTATGAGGAAGATACTGAGAGTAGTAATAATGGTGAAAATACATCGAATGGAATTAACGATCAAGAAGTAGCGAAGGAAGTCATCGATGATGATGATGAAGAGAATCTAGAGGATTCTAAAGCCGAAGAACTTTTGGACGAACGGTGAGTAACATATTCGTTTTATTCAAGTCTTAATCAGTATTCTAATTTCTAGGATGACTATTGAAAATGCTCATATCGAAGAAAAAGCAGCAGCAATCGAAGCTTTAGGTAATCTCGTAGAGAATTGCACGTAAGAGTTTGTATTCATTTTGATCATTCATGCTTTTCTTCTCTCTATTTAGAATCGCTATTTGACCGTATTTAAAAGACATCGTACAACAGATAAAAAATATGTTGGAATTTCCAAATGTTAATTGTACTCAAAATGATGTTACAGCTACTGGAAATCTTCTTTGTTCTGTGCACAAAATCGCATCACAAATCCAGGCACTGGATGAGAAAAAACTTGTTCACGATGGTTTGTTGATTGAATTGCAAATACACTTTTTTTGTTATGATATCCATTTGTCTAGAATCGGATCGTCTACTTGCCGATCTTATTCTGATCTATGTGTAATCATCAATTCATCAACAAGCCGTTCATTAGCTGAAGTTGCACTTGATGCAATCAAGACTGTATTAGAAGAAGTTAAAATGGATATGCTTAAACATGTACCACTCCTTGAAAAGATTGCTCATTGTACTCAAAAGGTACTGTCCTATAAAGTAAAGAAGAAAAAACCCAACAAAAATCGCAAATGTGTAGGACCTTTTGACGTTTTAGACTAAATGTCAACAGGAAAACGATGATGAAAATGATGATGGTGGTGATGCTCGCGAACAGGATGGACAAGACGATGCTGAATACGATGTCATGTTGATACTGACCGGTGATGATCTATTACCAGTGTTGACATCAATTGCATGTACTGAAAAAGTTGCCTTTTTTCCTGCATATCTCGCATCGATCATTCTCAAATTACAAAAACGACTTGTAAGTAGCAATTTGAAGTCTCTTCTATTTGAGATTAATATTATTGTAGATTAATCAGAAAATCGCCAAATTTCTCAAACATTTGAATGTCTCTGAAATGCGCATGCTTTCAAAGTTTCAAACTACAAGAATAATTAAATATATCTGTGATGACGGTTAGAATTGTTCCAGTCGTAGAAAATCGTCAGATTAGACAAGACAGCCTTACGAAACTTACTTTACCTTATTCCCGATAAGAGCTACTCCTTCCTGGTTTGTCCAAATCTAATGTGAGCAAGGTCGCTAATACTACGTCTGCCAGCAACGCTCCGATCAGAGCGCCGAGCGGTGCAGGCCATGAGCAACAGCAGCAAAACCTGCAAACGCTCGTATTTATCCGACACAAAAGCAAGATCGTGCTCTAACTTTTCGAACGCCAGTCGGTATCGTTTGCATCACTCTTGCCGTTCTTCATCTTTGTCTCTGTTCGGATTCTTGGCGTTTCACTTCCACCAGATGCTACACTGTTCGGCACTCATCTACACAATATGAATGTAGGCAATAGTTGATCAAAATGCGAAACTATTGTTTTCCTCCGAAAAAAATGCGGGATGTCAGAGTTTTTGCAATTCAGCTATTCTACAGAATTCTATAGAATTCTACGTTAGCATAGATATATAATACATTGACCAAGTTTGACTCAAGCGGAAATGTATAGAATTCTATAGAATTCTATACATTTCCGCACTCGGCTAATATATTGTATATGTGTAGTAAGCTAGAATTCTGTAGAATTCTACGTTAGCATAGATATATAATACATTGACCAAGTTTGAGTCAAGCGGAAATGTGTAGAATTCTATAGAATTCTACGTATAGTACTTGGTCAATATATTATATATCTATGCTAACGCACAGTGGGCAATTTTGCCTAGGCATGTGGACATTGGATTTTAAAGCGCTGGAAAGATCTCTCAGATATGTTTTTGTAGGTTTTCGAGTGTGCTCTTTCTAATGGAGTCACTGACAAAGTTCAAAA